GGGGGATAGTTGGTACATTGCGCCACGTGAGATGCTGCTACACATTCTCGACATCTGATTCTAGCACCTGCCTACTACCGGATTTTCGGGTGGAAGAACAGTAGACGGACGCATTTCAGCCTCGTTTTCGGGTGTTTGGATGCCTTTTTGCACTTCAGTCGACAGAAACCAGTCGAGCAACGCGACAAGAGCAACACGTCCCGGTGACGCTTCGGCTGCCGCTTTGACCCAGGGATGGCCTCCGTGGTGCTCGTGGCGGGCAAGGACAGGGGAGTCGAGAATGTCGAGACACCAAGGTTGGGTGGTTTACTCTAGACCCCCAGCAAGAGGGTCACTTGGACCCTCCGAGAGGTCACCTGGACCCTGGACCGAGGTCGCCACCTGCCACTTTGGGTCGTCTCCATTTCAGCCACCATGTCGGAGACCCCCTTCAACTGGCGGGTGCTTCTACCAAAGCTCAGTTCGACGAGATGTCACCACCAAAGTAATTCCTGGAAAGTCATGATTCGGATCACCCTTACAATGTTTATATCATGGTTTTCGTGGAGTTGTAGGACCAGAGTTTTCAAGGATCCATGAATGTGTAAGGCTTTCATCCTTTGTATCCATCTCGGGCCTGGTCTCGGTCTCTGGGCGCAGGTGGTCCACGATGAACATGGGAATCAGGTCTGCAAATGATCATCCGTTACAGAGGTCTGGATTGATCATCCACACCCCAATGGACTCATATCGACCCCACTGGCCGCCAACAGCGCATGGTTTCACCACGTTCTCCGAAACTCCTCCATTTTAGAAGTCCTCTTTGGGCGGGGTTGATGACTCCACCTAGTTCTTCCTAACTTCAACTTCCATGATTTCACCTAGTTCGCGTGGCAGCCAGGTGCAGTTTCCATGCTTTGGGATGTTTTGGGTTGCAAAGTCAGCCTTTTTGACTTGGGTGACAAACAAAGAATCACCAGAAGAAGCCTGAGTTCGTCTAAGAGTGCTGGTCGAAATTGCCCCAACATCCAGCTGTGAACACAGACATCGCTCACTGGCTAAGCCGCCCCTCGCAGACGTTGCACACCAGGAGGGGATTTACACACGCAAGAAGAAGAGCTGGCTCTTCAGCAGGCAGCTTCGAGCCTGCTCTGGCACAGTACCATCAGGATGTGTAGTGCATACAGATTCACACAGATCAACGGGCGTATCTTTGGAGGAGCTTGGGATGAGTGAGTTAAATCCTTAAGCCTGAGGGCAACCCCCTGATGATGGGTACTGATTTTTGCAAGATGGAGTACTGGAAGTCGATGCTCCAAAACCAGATCGATGGCGCCACGCACCCACTCCGCCGCCGACCAACCGCCGTCGTGGTTTCGACCCACGCTCGACCGGTAGGGCCACACGGTCGACCGGTGCACCCACGGTCCGGGGTGATCGTCCGACTGACTTGGACTGATCGAACCGTGGTTCTTGTCACCCCAGGGGGGTCCGAGACTCCTCGGCGACCAACTGTTGGATGTTGGCTCCGTGGTCTTCGTCCAAGCGAATGTGTGGGGTCGACGGAGGAGCAGCCCCTGTAGCCCGAGCGGAGGGGCGGCAGCCTTCGAAGACGCGAAAGAAAGAAAGAAAGAAAGAAAGAAAGAAAGGGTTGTTTTGTGGCCCTGCCTGGGAAACCAAAGAACCAGAAACAAATGGATGTTTCCCCAGTCCCAGCCATTTCGTATACTGTATGAAGTATTTCAATGGCCCATATTGGGCTCCAACCATTTGTTTCTGGTTTGGACTGGATTCCCAGGTGGTCATCAACCATCTTCAACCCGCGAAAGACCACGCGAAAGACCACCATCCACTCGGTCCGGGGGGCCAGGAAGGCCCCCGGTGCGGCCTATGCTGAGGTTCTGAGCTCTGACCCGTTCCCTGCCGAAGCCGAAAAGAGAGCTCTGGCAGCCCTGGCTTGGTTTGGTTTTGAGGCTTGGAAGCGGTATAGCGAGGATGAAAGCAACAGCAGCGCTTCAACATGGAAGATTGTTTCTCGTGAGAACAGTAGACTCTTGAAACGCTCAGTGGACTCTTTCAGATGTGCATGCACCAGCAAGCAGTGATGGCAAAAGGGGAAGTCTACTTCTTCCAACGATGTCACATTTCTGCCTTGCCATCTATACAACCAGCCCAAAGGCAGACATTTTGCACAGGTGGAGGATCCAGGGATAGCTACTTCGCCCGCAGTTTCGCTGCATGCCATCAGAGATCAACCGAGTGCATGACTTGGCTGTGTCTACCATTTTGTGTAACATCCCAGGACGAGTTTGATCTTTGGGTGCTACACACTTGTGATCCATGCCAGTACCCGACTTAGAAAGGCTCATCTATTAAAGATCTCAACCTTCCAGAGGAGGCCTGTAGACTTGAGACATGTTGGAAAACATGTCCACCACCCGAAGTTGCGATACAGTAACCCCATGCCAATGTGGGGGCCGCGCTGAGGGAGGTGGACGTGACTTGGCGAAGAGAGAAGGGATGTTTTTTGTTTTTCACCAAACATCATGCGAACGAAACTAGGGCAAACAGCCAAGGTACGAGCCAAGAGCCACAATGACTTGGCATTGTTCTGAAGCAGGGACAGAGTATGCGGCAAGATCGGAGTGAGGATGTGAGAATATTCCCCGAAATACATCCTGATAGTCCTGATAGTCCCTATACATCCTGATAGATAGTCCCTATAGTCCTATACATCCTGATAGACTTAAAAGGACTCGAAGATACTTAAAGATGCGATTTTCAAGGTGATCCACACCCGTGTTCATGAGGCGTCACGTTTGGACCACCTGCTCCGGCCTTTGCGCACCAGAGCACCAGAGGGTTTTTGATGACCTGAAAAAGGACTCCTCACCTCGGGGATACCCAACTGGGAGAGTTTTTTCTTTTTTGGGTCCAGACAAGCTCTGTTGGAGGGTGTTTTCAGGCGATACCGCGTGAGATCGCGTGAGACCGTATCTTCCAACTGCTGCAACAACATTATGCCAACCAACTGGCTGGTTCAGATGAAAAAGGGAACATTTTTTGTACCAGTGGAATCCAGGTCGCCGGGTGACAGATCGCTGATTCCAGCGCCATCCTTCAGCGTTCAGCACCTTGCAGATGTTGCCCAAACCGTGCACGAGGTGCCCCCGTGCGTTTTTCGAAGAGATCCCGAAGGTTCAGGTGCTCAGGTGCTCTCTGAACATTCGGATCCGGGGTCTTTTCCCCGTCAACTCACTCTGGAACCTTACTCAACTCACTTGGCCAACCCCTCTGACTTCTCGACATCCACTGGTGATTTTCTCCGGCAAGCAAGAGCACTCTGACGAGTGAGATCAGGCAGAGATCAGGCAGAGCGCTTGTCCGATTTGGGAAGCCGGTTCCATCCGCACCCAGCCACTGCCCGTGTCCGAGTTTCTGGTTGATCGGTCTTGGCTAGCCAAGACCGATACGCTTCGAGACCGGCCGCAAAGTCCAAATCAAGATTGGTCTTATCACTGTCAGACAGACCTGTAGGGCGCCCTGGTCCATGGTGAAATACTTCACCTTTGGATTGCGTTGGGGACCACCTTCCACAAACCAAAAACCCGATCTTCCGAGTCTCTGCGACGTCAAAGAGGCCCTTTATGGGCTTTTGACATGGTTGCTTTCACAGACCAGGACCCGACACGGGGTGCCCCGTCTGGAAGCCTATAGGTAGTGTGGGGTAGTCCAGCCAGGACACCCCGACAGGAGGGTCCAGGGACTTTCTCTTCACATTTTGCCGTCCAACAGTTCCAAGACAACCAAAGCAGCGGTTTTTTTGGCGCGACAACCATGGTCATTGGGCTGTGCGGTACACCGCAAATCCTGAGGCCAGCCTGCACCGTGCCGAATCATACCGCGTGTGTGCCTAAGACCATCCACTTCAATGTCACTTGCTTTGGAACGATTGGTGTTGAAGAAGCGGGAGAAGTGAAAGGCTTCCAGCACCAAGTCAGGGCTGTCTAGAACTCAGTTTCTCCTCACCCACCTGCACTTTTAGGAGATTTGACACGTCACCCAAACGTGATCACCTTTGACCCACCTGCAAGAGACACGTGTCTGACATCATCCTGCTTGGATTTGGTTCAAACGACAGGCATCAGTCCGTGCAGTTTTGTTCAAAGTGTGTCACAAGTCAGGGAATTCGGATGAAAGAGAATCACAGTATCATTCCAATCTCACACAACCTTGCTACTAAGTAGCAATTTTCCGAGCAACACTTCATGTCAGATTGGCGTGCATCACACAAATCACACTTGGTTTCACCTCGCGGTGCAGCTTGGCCCGCGGTGCGGTTTCACTTACCCTGCGGAGCAGTTTGGTCCGCAGGTGTGGCGGGAATGACTTCATTTACATTTGATTCCGCTGTGATCTTCATGAAGGTGCCAGGGCACGATGCCTCCGAGATGTCTATCGCGGTGGACCACAAGATGATGGCGCTGGATGCCATTCGATGGGAAGAGACTTGGGGTGAACGGAAGATCGAACAGGCGGCTCAGGCGCAGCATTTGGGAAACCGACTCCTCTCAATTGAAGGTCGGAAGATTGCACCCAACGAGATCTTGCACGAAGTTCTCTCTCAGTCTGCATCTGGATGTGTCACATTGTCGGACTACTCGCAACTGGGCCCTTCTGCCATGCAGATTTGCTCCATTGGCGCGACCGAGTTCCGTGGCATCACTGTGGTGCAGTTGGAGGCTTTGTTGGACTTCGTGAAGGACATGGCACCTTATTGGTACGAGACCTTTGGCCCTGCAGCTGGTCAGGCCCTTGCCTTTGAGACCTTCAACTTGTACCACGCCAATAACTGGATCATTCTGCCTTCCACTCAGGGTAGGGGAGGACGAGATGCCTGGGTGAGCCCGTGGATGATGGAGATCCATAAGGGTTGCAGCTACGTGGAACTGGTCTCCCGTGAGGCAGAAGCCCAGCGACCGCAATGGTTTGTGTCTCATGCATGGAAGGAACCCTGGTTGGTTCGGAGGATCAGGTTTATTTAATGTGATTTATACCCGAACGAAGTCCAGTTCGACTATATTTTGACCGACTGAAGGTTTCAGGACATTCCGGGTCACTTGGGTCACCGTTCGTCAGACCCTTCTTTTTATATTTTGACCGACTCCCAGGGGTATACATGTTCAAACCTGGGTGAATTCCCACACCGGTGGATTCTTTTCAAATGCTTCCGTCCGGTTCCTGGACGGCCAGTTTTCAGGAACCCATTGTGAACTTTGTCGCCTGCCTCCGGAAGCATTTGACGGTCCGTGATCTTGGGAGAGAGAGTCCCTACTGGGTCTCCTGGTTCTGCTTATTACGTTTTTTTTTTGTTACTTTCCTGAACTAACTGGGTAAATCCATATATCCATATATCATCATATATCATATAAATCCCCAAACCTGGGGAACCTGTTTTTTCTGTTCCAGGGTTCGCCGGTGATTTTTTTAAGGTCTGTGCCTATGCCAACAACCAACACCGGGTGGACGAGGAGATCCCAGAGGATCCCCGCGAGAGCGCCTTCTTTCGGGCCATGAAGGTCTCGGACGGAGTGCTCTTGATCTTGGACACGCATCATGGCTTTTCTGCAGTGTGGGCACAATGAGGGGTTCTTACGGTAGGTGAAAAGCAGCTGATGGTTTTTGCTGCGAGACAAGTTGTCTCGCTTGAGGGGTCAATCTCGTTAGGTCTTCTTCTTTTCTCCGGACATGCTCCCAAGTGCACTGTCGGGACGGCAGATGTCCTTCCACTCACTGCAAGATTCCCGAGGCATGCAACGCCATTCACGCGGATTTGGTGCTGTTTTGAGGAGAGTGTGGCAGCGGCGAACTCAGTTCTTCCTCAACCTGAGCAGGGAATACTGCAGCAGTCATTTACGCTGGAATACTGTTTGTGATCAGCCAACACCTGTGACATTGTAGATGCGAAAGGAAAAGCAGAAGGATCACCACCTTTTTTTTATGGTGCAGAAATGTGCAGAACACTTAAGAATCTTTTCTTGACATGAGTGAAGTTTCCATGTATATCGGCCTCCCCCCTACCGCGGGTCGTGTCGCAGCGGCTCGTGTCATCACACCTCTTCCAGCCCCCTCTGTCGCGCGTGCGTTGCGTGAGGGAGTCACACAAGGAAATGTCCAAATGCCACTCCCTGAAAGCGGGGGGGAGTGAGTGGAAGCGGAGTGAGTGGAAGCGGAGTGAGTGAGTGGGTGAGGGGGGGGGGGGGGGGGGTGAGTGGGTCTGACCGCCCTGACCATCACTGAGGTCGAAGAACGGGACTCCTCTGGGGCCTTGTTGTTGGATCTGGCCACCGCGTCCGCGGATGCGAAGGACGCCAGCCTTGTGACGGACGGGCTGGCCGGAGTGGAGACCCAGATGATGCCCCTGCTCGGGATGCTGGCGAAGAGTCAGCGAGAAGCCAGCTTCCCAGCTGAGATCATGCAACGGGGCTTGGAGGCTGGAAGCAGGGCTGGAAGCGGACGGTTCGACCTTGATCTGATTTACCCCAAGGATCCCGACGGGTGGTCGATAGATCCCCTGACTATCTACTTTCCATCTAACCACCCGACATGGGTGGTGCTGGGCATATGTTCGTTTGTACTATATAGATTTTTGTGGATATGGCGTTGTATTTTGAGAGCGTTGGCTGCTGACTTTGTGTTCGGTTCTCCACAATTCCTGGAGAGAGGGTGTTGCTTCGTCTGGTTTCGTAGGCTTTTGCATGATGCTGTCAGGTTTTGTGAACATTGGATCTTGTGTTAAATAGTTGAGTATCGTCCAAAGACTTGTCATTTACATGAATTTATCAATCGTTGCCCACTGGGGATCTAGTATTGAATGGTGAATTTGTCAAGAGACAAGTTCTTTTACAATAGTTCATTTACTCCATCGTACTGCTCATGTACAATTGCATGGTGCTACACAATGCACCTTGGATCGAGGCCTTGAGCCTAAGGACAGTTGCCAGAGGAAAACAATACAGAGACGTGCACAAACAAACGACAAACAAACAGCTGCTGAATTTTACATGGTAGCGGAGCAAGGATCCTGGTAACAACAATCCAGGCGAGCTCCAATACAACAACAGGAACAAGCCCACAAACACAGACAACGGAGAGCAAGCCTTGACCCTACAACAGGTAGCTTGCACAGCTGCAACAATGGCAGCACAACAAGCAGCAGCTCAAGCTGGAGATGGACTGCCTCCAGTTCCAGAAGATGAGACAACAACAAACATAGCAAACATGAACAGATACAAACTCAAACCACCTTTCTTCAATGGAGACTATGGCACGTTCGAGGAATGGAAGTACAAGTTCACAGCATACATGGGATTGCAAGACAATGATTACACAGAACTACAACAAGCAGCAGAACGAGGCACAGCAGAACTCACAGAGGTACAATTACGAGCAGCGGCATCAACAATCGAAGATGGTGAACGACATGTTCGCCTCAGCACAAATTTGAGGTACATCCTCATCAACACAACAACAGGAGCAGCAGCTACAGTCTGCAGACAATACCAAAACACAATTGGCTTCGAGATGTACCGACAATTGTGCATCCGCTTCTCCATCCCATTGGGGACAAGATCCATAGGACACTTGACAAGATTGTTGAAACCAACATTTGACAAGAACAACTTCGAAGAATCATTTTCCACGTGGGAATTTGAGCTACAACGATTTGAGCGAGACAATGGACAAACACTCCCAGACTCCGTGAAGATTGCCGTACTGCTCAATGAGCCAAGTGGACCACTACAACAACACCTACAACTGCTTTCAGGACAAAGGCCAAACTATGCACGAGTCAAACAAACAATCATTGAGTACTACAGATCAACAACAGCATTCAGCAAACTACAACAATTACGATCACAATCATCCAGTGTAGCAACAAGCTTTGGTGGAGGACAAGCACCCATGGACATTGACGCAATCCACAAAGGAAAAGGGAAGTACAACAGTTACAAAGGGAAAGGAAAAGGAAAGAACAAAGGCAAAGGCTACGGAGGATACAACGGCCACGGCTACAACAGTTACAGCGTCAACCACAAAGGAAAAGGAAAGTAGGGAGCAAAAGGATTCAACAACTACAACAACAATCCGATTGGCTTTGGCAATCCATTTGGAAGAGGCAACAAAGGAAACAAAGGATTCAGCAAAGGATACAACAACAAAGGAAAGAACAAAGGAAGACAAGCAACAGATACATGCTACAGATGTGGAAGAACAGGACATTTTGCCAAAGACTGCCGAGTGGCAATTCACAATATTGGACAAGGAGAACGCCCTGACATTGAGGATGCAACTGCACAATGGTACGACGACTACTATGACAACGGATGGTACTGTCAGGACTACACGAGACAACAACAAGGACAACAGCCATTGGCACTTCCGCCAATCCCATCCAATGGCAACAATGACATGACACCAATCCATGTCATCGCCATGATCAGCAATGGCAATGACTACAAGACAGATACCACAAGCGGCGGCGCAACAGACACTATGCACATCATGATCGACAGTGGAGCAGCCACACATGTCTGTCCACTATGGTTTGCAGACAACTATCCAGTGTACAAGATCGACCAAGCACAAAGCCCAAACCTCAGGACAGTGACGAACAAGATGGGTCTACATGCAATCAAGAGGACAACCAATTGTCATACTATTCTATGTGTGTGACATTCATGACCCAATCCTGTCAGTGACCAGACTGGCAGAACAAGGCTTTGACATCAGGTTCAATGACACTCCAACAATGCGCCATGACAAGGGATTCAATGTTCCCTTGGTGCAGCAGCGCAATCTCTACTACTTGCCAGCAACAGTCATGAACCTGGGACAACATCAACAACTACAGCTGAGACAGACACAAAAGGGCATGATTGCAATGATTGCCCCAACAACACTGACAAGACACGGACCACAACAAGTTCTTGGAGGCAACAGCGACTATTGGAACTACAACAATGAAGGATACCTTGTACGGTACCACCGGAACAAAAGGAAAGCTCTCTTTGTTCCTGGAGACAATTGCCCAGTGCCACTGGAGACATTGAGCAACTACAGACGAACAATCATTCGGCGAACAGACGGGAACAACGAAGACATTGTTGAACAATACCATGACTTGAGCAAACACGAACAACGACGAGTGATACAAGGAGACACGTGGACAGGAGAAACATGGTTCAGAGTGAACAAGCCGCCAACGCAACCAGCACCTACAACAGCGAAGACAACAGAGCCGACAGAGAAAGCATCACAAGCAATACAGGCACGACCTCAATCCACAACATTGGGAATCCCGGACAAAGACGGGACAACACAACCGACGAACAGAGAGCCACTATACAGACACACAACGAAGAAACCTGCACCAACAACCACGGCAGTACCTGATCCATCAACAATGACACCAACAACAGACTATTGGATCAGAGAAGGACACTATTGGAAACGAGTTCATGTACAAGCACGGACAACAATGTACGTACCACAACAGACAGATGATGGTCCAGACATTGGAAGACTCAAGCCTACCTGGACAACATTCGTGAATAGAACGGAACAAGGAAGAGGATACACAATCCATGACAATTGGCAGGAATCAGGAGCAAGACAGCTTGACAGACAATGGACAGGATCAACAAACTTTGAGGAAGAAGCGACGTATAAGTACGAGTACGACACGGACAATGAAGATGAATCTCAACAAGCACAACGCGCCAAAGGAATGAAGGCACCACAACAACCAACAAGACAAGAGAGGCTAGAACATGAGCTGACACATTTACCATATCGCTCATGGTGCCCAATATGTGTCAAGAGCAAAGGAAGAACAGACAATCGCCCAAAAGAAGCAAGCAAACAACCAGTGATACAAGTGGACTTCACCTACATGAAAGCATTTGGAGACAAACAAGTACTACCGGTACTCACGGCAATAGATGTCGAATCAGGCATGGCAATGGCAGTTCTTGTACAAGACAAGAACCAACAACAACAACAATACCTGACACGATGTCTACAATGTGGACGAGCACAAGCAACACTATCTACCACGACACTACAATCAGACCAAGAAGAATACATACAGAACCTACTGAAGGCCGTCGCGCTGAAGCTCGGAAACAACGTCAACATCCGACAATCACCGGCATACTCGTCACAATCACAGGGAAGCATTGAACGATTCCATCGCACCTTGATGGGACAAGTCCGAGCACTGGTACAACAAGTGACCACAAGCTACAACCTCACATTGAGCGTACAACATCCGGTCATGCCGTGGATTGTACGGCATGCAGCCTGGCTACTGAACAGGTATGCCATGCACAATGATGGACAAAAAAGCTACCAAAGACGATGGCAGAAGGACCACAAAGCACCACTATGCGAGATGGCAGAAACAGTACAATACATGATACCAACAACAAAAGCACAACCCAAGATGGAGCCAAGATTCTTCAAAGGAATCTGGCTTGGAAGGGATACAATGACTGGAGAATCAATAGTCGGCATGCCTGGCAAGATTATCTAAGCAAAAACAATTCGAAGACAGATCATGCCAGACAAGTACGACAAGCAACTATTGGATACCATCAACGTGTATCCATGGAATTTGCCAACAGCACCAATGGCAGTTCCAACACAATTGCTTCTACCAGCTGACAATACCACAAACGGACAAGCAAGTGGCACACAAGCTGACGTTACAGTGGAAGATACAAGCACGCAGACAGGACAAGAGACACCACTGGCACTACCAGCACAGGCAATGCATCATCCGCCAATGGACGTGACAATGGCAACATCACCATTGGCAACTTCACCAACAACAATGGCAAGACCACCACTGCCATTACCACCAGCAAGCAAGCGACAACACGAGGAACCTACAGGAGAAGCGCAATCCAAGCAATCAAGGACAGCGCAATCCTCAACAGCAGCAAACCGAGGACAAGAGGAAGAACAACCAAAAGCAAAGATGAGAATACAAGCAGTGACAATCACCACAAGGAAAGGTGACAAGATCACCACAGCATCCTGTGAAGATGAACAAGAAGCAGAAGTGGAAAGGATACTACAAGAACCCTTCGTCTACGACAATGAAGGTCTTGATCCATTGAAAGTACAACAAGGAATGAAGAAAGAAGAAGCAGAATCGATGAAGACACAAGGAGTGTTCACAGAGATGAACTACAATGATGTCCCAGAAGAACACAAGAACAAAATCATAGAGTCCAAGTGGGTTAACAAACCCAAACAAGATGAAGTTCGATGCCGCATAGTAGCAAAAGGTTTCCTGGAAACAATCCAAGACCTTGACAACATCTATGCGAGCACACCGATCTTTGGGGTCTTACGTATCCTACTGACAATGGCACAGCACAACCACTGGACGATACAAGCAGGAGACGCGTCAACAGCATTCCTACATGCACCAGCAGCGACAGACAATCTATACATGTGGCCACCATCAGAACTATACCCAAGTGGTCACAACACAACCACAGTGTGCAAGCTCAACAAAGCAATCTATGGACTGCGATCAAGTCCCAAATCTTGGAAAGATCACTTTGCACAAGTCCTGCAACAATTGGGACTGTCTCGACTCACAAGTGAACCCAACGTGTACAGGAACAATGAACAGACAATGTTTGTGCTGGTATATGTGGATGACCTACTACGACCAACCGGCACATTGGGAATTGGTCAGACAATCCAATTCCTTGGCAGAGACATCCAACAATGGAGACTTCTTTGAGGTGAGCCTCAAACCGGAATACATCACTACATTGCTGAAGGAAACAAAGATGGAAGCAAGCAATCCAGCATCAACTCCAGGGACGGCAACCCTGAAACAATCCACAAACGATGATGCACCTCTAGAGGCACAAGAACACGCAGACTACAGGAGAGCAGTAGGAAAGCTACAATGGCTGACCTACACAAGACCAGACATCAGCTTTGCGACGAAAGAACTAGCACGAGATCTACAACAACCAACACAGCAAAGCCTTCGCAAGGTGAAGCACCTCCTACGATACCTCAGGGGAACACAACACTACAAGATGACCCTGAGGACAACACATACACCGCAGACAAAGGAACCCATCGACCTTAACTTTTATGTCGATGCGGATTGGGCAGGATGCCCAAGCACAAGAAAATCCACAAGTGGATTCATCGTGACAATGATGGGATCAGTAGTACAATTTGGAAGCAGAACACAAGCAGTGGTAGCATTGTCATCAGCAGAGTCAGAACTATATGCTATAGGAACAAGAAGGACTACACATAGCAAACTTCATCAAGGAAGCCACAACAACAAAGGTGAACATACGCATACACACAGACAGCGCAAGCGGCAACAGCATTGCAACACGAATAGGCTCGTCAAAGAAAGCAAAGCACATTGACCTGAAGTACCTCTTCATACAGCAACTGGTACAAAGTGGGGTACTGTCAATACACAAGATCAGCAAGCACGACAACCCAGCAGACATACTGACAAAGTATGTTTCGGCAGAGGTGCTTAACAAACACCTCTACATGGCGGGCATTCAATGCCCACAACGCCACAACTGAACAACTGCAGTACAAACAGTTTCACAACCATGGCAGCACCAACGCGTGTACAATACACACACGGGGGATCAAGCCATGGCACACTACTTTAGCTACTATGTGCGTACTATGTCATAGACAATAATTATGTACTACAAGATCTTTATTTTCACAATGGGCCCGACCTTTCTTTCGCCGTTTCGGAGTACAATTCGAAGAACAATGTGTTTGAAGTTTTGCCTTTTGAATTTGGAAGACAATGCATGTTTTGGTTGACAATTTGTCGACAATCCTTGACCGCGGCCGCTTTTCCAGCTCACAAGCCGCGACAATCTGGATCGACGTCCTCGAGAACAATTTGGAAGTTGAAGATGGCAGCTGAGATGACAATCCCAGACTACCACAATCAGAGCAATTCACGGGATCCACAATCTCGCTATGGGACGACCGGGCGACAATTTTCAACGTGGACAACATCGAGAGCACGATTCTGCGCCCAGCGAACTACAAGGATACCGCATGGGTAGATGTCCCTTGACGACATCACAACCTACTGGTTTTCAGCGGTCACAATGACCGAATATGTGACTATGTTGAACAACGACGGCAGGATCGACAAACTCCCGGGCAATATCCGGAGACCCGGAAATTGGGAGCAGTTCATAATGGTTCCTACAAGTGAGGAAGCCATTCAATGGCTCGCATACCACCAATCGGCAAGCCACACAATGTCGAACAATGAGACGGTGTTGATCGCGATTGCCTTTGAGGGGCGCAATCTGATCCACCACATGTCACAAAAGATGGTCACGTCATTCCAGCGGGGGTACAGCGTGCAGGTACTACAAGTCCATGCACCTTACAACTACTGCATGACAAGGACGGAGATGGACAATCTGCGAGTGATCCACCTGCGCTACAATGCCATCGACAAATTCAACAAGTACAACTGGGAGAACGGCTGGATTTGGCTTCGCGGCCATACAATTCACGTGAGGACAATGCTGACCATTCCGGAAGATTCTCCGCACCATACAATCTTCGGAATGGCGCTGGCACACCTCGGACAATTTGGCCAGTCACAATTGCCGCCAGAAGTACAATTGGCTTTGGGAGTCTACAAGGCTGACAAGAAGATCGATACGTACCATGTGACAATTCCAAAGCGACACCAGCGAGGGCATCCAGAGCACAGTTCCTACATCAAGGAACGAGACAGGACAATTGACCTGGAACAATCTGAGGATGAAGAGGATGGCAAGGGGACAAAACGTCCCAGACAATCCTCCGAGACTCCGGACAACACGATCGACTCCATGGAGGGCTAGAACAATGGTTCTACAAGCGGCCTGGTTCCAGCTGTAACAATGCCATACGAGCACCACGAAATGAATGGCAACAAGCTGGAAGAATAATGGCAAGATGGTGTACAGACTTGCTCACAATATTTTGAACTGATTTGTGCAATAATGTTTCTTTGCAGTTTCAACAATGTTTATGGATGGTGTGATTCCACAATGAATCAAACCAAGGGACGGTGTCAAGAGACAAGTTCTTTTACAATAGTTCATTTACTCCATCGTACTGCTCATGTACAATTGCATGGTGCTACACAATGCACCTTGGATCGAGGCCTTGAGCCTAAGGACAGTTGCCAGAGGAAAACAATACAGAGACGTGCGCAAACAAACGACAAACAAACAGCTGCTGAATTTTACAGAATTGAGAGAGAGAGAGAGGATGAAGGTGAATTTAAGGTCTCTTGCTGAAGACTGCTGGCACCTAGTGGGCTGGTCCGGATAGGGAGTAGAGTAGTGCCCGACATCAGACATTGGGTCTCGACGTGATATTCAATACACCCTGATCTGAGCCTTCACCAGCCAGTTGTTTCACCAGCCTTTGTAGGTGGACATCAAGCAAGCGCAAGCGGCCGTGGCAGAAGATAAGAACCGCATCCTGAACAGCATCATTTCACGTCACCCAGATGCCGTCAGTCGGGTGACTGGAAAGGACTTAGCACTCCAGCCCCCGCCAAGCCATGAAAGCTACGACTTGGTGAATCGCGCCTTGGCCTCGCACTTCTCGTTGTCAAGCTGGTTCAGCTTCATGATGAAGGGACACAACTGCCAGAATCTCATGGAAGCCATCTCAGCGGACCAGGGCCGGCAGATGGTGCAGTTGTCCATGACGGGATGCTTTAGTTTCAAGGACAGCGATTTGCAATCACTTGTGCAGTGCTTGCCAGAGAAGCTGCGTGTGCTTCGTTTGGACTTGGCCTTCACAGGCAGGTTCCGCAGGGCCACGGGAGGGTCACTGGAGGTAGGGTCAGACGTGCACATTCCCGTCAAGACTCTTGGCTCTAATTCCAAGTGGTGGTGGTTTATATGGGGATTCACCATAAACAGCCTTGGCGAATCTTGGGGATTTGAGCCAAGAGGCCTGAAACCTATCAAGTGAAGTCGGTGTAGTCATAGATGTCGCTTGGCTTCTTCCTCGTTGTTTTTCACGTGCCGATCACGAAAAGAGGTTTGGACTCGCCCTTTGACGGGTCATTGGAGTTTCCGAGTTCCTTGGAGCAGCTGGTGTTGCGCTTCGCGGGTTCTTTGCAAAGCGTTGAGGGTTTGCCAGCCATGCTTTTTCCTTTGAAACTGAGCCGCTTGGAACTCTGGCTCTGCAACTTGCCAGCTTTAAGCACCATTGGCCCCTTGGGAGATGCGATCAAGAGACCTGGTTTTGCTTATAGAGGGTGATGTTCTTTTTTTTTCCTATGGGTGAAAAACAGGCTAGTGGCGAGACCAACAGCTGAAGAAGTGCAAAAGAAATGCTTTCCGGGTGAATCCCATCAGAACCTTCTTTTTCTCAGTTCTGCACATCCAAGGAGATCTCGTCCAGGAGAGTTGGTACTGCAGCTGAATGGCTGTCCGCAGCTATCTTTGGCCATCAAAGAAGACCTGTTCCTTGTCCCGATCTGCTGCCGCATGTAGCACATGTAGTGCCCTTGCCCGTCTGCCCCTCCGTTTGGTCTCGCCGTTGTCTGTGACGCCCTTCGCCGGTTAGGCACCGATCTCTGCAAGTTTTGCTCCTGTGGGCACGAGTGAAGCGGCACGTTCACATTGAGGACGGGGTGGTGGGGAACGACCGTCGATCCATCGAAAACCCCCAGGTCGGCTGTGGATCGACTTCCCTGGTGGGTTGACTTCCGTAGTCTATTCTGTTCCTGTCGGTGGTCGACCAGGGTGTCCCGGTTTGGACCAAAGGGCCAAATCAGTGTGTCAATCAGCTTGGCACAATTCTTCCCATCCCTTCTCAGCCTTCCGAACTGACCATCCACACTGGGTTTCCAGGTTTCCACCATGGGGTTTCCAAGTGGGGTGCTCCAGGACGTGTCCAGTGCCTGGTCATGTCTTCGAAGAAGGGCTGATGCCGTGCCAGAGCGGACCCTGACCGTCGAGGCAGGGGCCAGATCGATGGTCTTGCGAATGTCTCTGACGGCTTCGACACACGGTGTTTTTTTCATGGTTCAACCCAGGTTCCGGGTTGGAGAAATGGAAGAGGACTTGATGTGGCGTTGATCAAACATGGTCAAAGTCTATCCGACTGAAAGGTTTCATTCTTGCAGATGGTCTTAGCACCGCCATGCGGTGCTTGCAGAGCTCTTTTCGTTGAATGTGCTTTTCCAAAGAACAGTTGCACAACAAATCACAAGAGGTGTCGACAATACAGAGAGTTTCAATAGATAGAAATATATAGTCTAATCAAAAAACGCAAGAGTGAGAGGTCTAGTTAAGCAACGAGAGGTTCAACAAGTATTGACTGCCACTTATTGTCAGTGAGGTTCTTAAACGTGAATTCAATTCAGAAGGCGGACGTTCAAAGAGAAACATACACATTCAAGAACAGTGACGCTCAATCGAGAAGAACATTGTTCGAGCCAGAATGGCTAGGTTCGTCTGGACAAAAGTAAGCATGTTTATATAATATACAGTATACAGTACAATATACATCTAAGGACAATCAATTCTTGCAGCTTCGTTATCCCCAATCCCAAGCTTGCAGCCTCCCGCTGTAGTTCAAGGCCCACGCTTCACGAAACGCTGCATGTGAGGACCCCAGCCAGAGCTTTTGCAGCGACGCGGAGATTGAGATGATGTTGCCATACCCTTGCAGCCAAGCAGGATGCAAAGAGTTCCACCCAAATGAACATGGCTTTTGCTCTCGCCATCGACATTCGCGCTTCTTCTGGAAAGTGAGGCCTACACTGCGCCTGGAAGCTCGACTGCCATCGGATTTGTTTTGTTTCTCAGATGATGTGCAGTATACGTACCACACGTACGGTGGGCAGTGTATTTCTTCGATTGTGCGCGGCGGGTGTACGGGTTTACGAAAGAAGAACACGGCATGTTGTGATACGTCTCGCGAAGTTCCATGTTGCACCTGCTTCCTCGGGGGCCGGGGGTGGCACTGCGCTTGCTTGCACGCTGGCAAGGCTTGGCAAGCAGGAGAGCTGGCACTGCTCTTTTCCATACAAGCTCTATTTGAAGCAAGGAGCAGATTTGTGCTGGTCTTCTTCGGATTGTCTTTGCACTTTGGCTGCACTGCCTTTAGCAAAGTGACCCAGAGCATGCATGAATCACACCTAGCTGCACCTTTTCAGATTTTCATCACAGATGTTTTTTTCCACTCTTTGCAGAGAGCTCTTTCTTTTCCCAAACGATGCCCACAGGTTTCAGAACGACGTAACGGCTTAGATCATTTGCTTGCAAGGTACCCAGTGCTGTGTATGATGATTGCAGATTCAATGGGTCTCTCTTTTGGGCTGACCTTTTCAACCACGCTGCTGGTGGTTTTGGCCAGCATGGCCTACACTTCCGGGCGCTTTGATTCCATGCGAGGCGCTATGCAGAAGTTGTGCTTGGCGATGGAAGCGAGTTATTTCCAGGTGCGGAAACCAAAGCTTTTATGGGTTTTGGTCGAAATAACTGCTACATGTGAAGCTTTTGTGTTTGTAATGAGGCAGCGGAAGGAAGAGGAATTATATATCGTGGATTAATATGCACAGCGGATCATGAGAGATGCGAAGTTCCATGGTGAACATTTTTGTTGTTGTGAGGTGGAGGTGGAGGTGGAGGTGGAGGTGGAGGTGGAGGTGAGGTGAGAGAGTGAGTGAGCGGAATCTGTAAGTTCGCTTGGTGTGAGTTGGGTTGGGCGACCAAGGCTACTTAAGTACCCGACCGAGGCACATCAGTGGAACCTCTCATCCATCCCCTTAAGAGCAAGCCGAACACGGGAACTGCAAGGATGTCAAGAAAAATACACATTACATTATTAAATGACGATAAATCTTGATTGAATATAGGATCCCCTCCAATATCCTCCAACATTTGAAACTGCAAGGCGGGTGAAAGTCATGAGGTGAGATGAGATGGTATGCTTGGTGACAAAGGTTGGTCGGCAGGCGGATGGGATGCACATTAAGCATCTGGCTGCGACCCATAGATTTGAGATGTCCATCGGTGAAGGGGGTTGAACGTTTGGGTGCGCAAGCAGAGTGCCCAGTGACTGGGCAACGTTTTTGTGCACACCTTGGCATGTGCCACATGCATCGATTGTTCGTGCACAGGTCGCCATCGCACCCGGGGGCGACCGGTTTCCCTTAAGGCAAACCCTGTCGATCAATTGAAGAAAGCCGCTAAAAAAAGACAACTGGACCAAGTTGATTGCCAGACCTCCGGGTTTTGCTGCATTGATATAAACGGACTTTCACACAAACCCGGGTCTTTAAAGATCACCGAACGCCACCAAAAAGCCCTCGTGAATGAAACTCGAACACGCTCCCATCCAACCACCAAGCTCATCCAATCAAACCAAATTTCTCTACAACGGGACTTTCCGGCACCACGTTGTTGACCCAACCCTGCCTTGTCTCCCGACTACCTGGGGTTGTTGTACCCAACCACTTGCAGGTCTTGCATACGACGGGATTGTCCCAACTCTTCGAGGAGGTGGGAGTGCTGGAGACCTTGCGACAGGACGTACAGGATCTGAAGCTTGTTCTCCCATCGAACGGTCGGGATCGGGTCTCGGTGAACCATCTCGCCGGTCCACGGGGGGTCCGAGGCGGCGAGACCAGTCGATGCTTTTTTTTTTGGTGTGTGTTTTTTCGATGTTTTTCTGGTTCTTGGTCTGAAAAGCCAGGTGGAATGGCCCCACCAACGCCCTGTGTTTTCACAGGGCCGCATCCCTATCCAGGTGGACACCATGGGCACCTCGGGCGCCGTCGGTGTTAGCACCGACGGCATGGTCGGCACAGACTCGGCACGGTGTTAGCACGGTCGGCACTCGCTTTCTGCTTGCTGAGGAAGAGCAATTTCATGGAGGCCCGGCGATGTCGAGGTCTCTTTCAGTGCCTGGGCGGTCGAAGAACCTGTGCCTTTTCGAGCTGGGCAGGCAGTTGGGCGGACACGGTGTCCGCCATCGAAAGCTCCCAGCTTGGTCTTGTAGTTTTGCAGGATCTTGGTGGATCTAGGTCTAGGTCTTTTGGACCAGAGATGACAATCTTGAACCCTGCTGAGATTGCACAGCATATGTCTTTTTGCTACACAAAGAACTTAATAAAACAGATCAGCGGCCGGGTTTTCGTGTCGCGGCTTCGCCTGGCACGGTGAGTCTCTAAGTATTCCCTCTCTGTCCCAAGGTAGCAACTCCACGCTATTCTTAAGTATCTCTGGGTTTACAGGACCAACATGTAGGCTGTGTCATGAAGAGAACAAGTTGGTTTTGGTGGGGTGGAAGGCACTGTAGAATTCCCCTTTGTAGCAAGTGGTATGAGGCAGCAGTATTCCAGGACTATTCTGGAGCATTCAGCATTCACAACAAGTGAGCCCCCCCAAGCGCACTCGCATTGGCTGCCTGGTCATGTTCCAGTGAACTTTTCCGGTTGATCCACATCGTTGCCAGGAAAGTGATCTGCGATCCTTTGTCGGTGGAGGGTGTGGTGAAGGCCAAGTTGAAACTGCCCACGGAAATTGGAACTTTCCCAGGCTTGATCATCCTTGATGCGTGACACTTTCAGTTTTTGCACATGTGGGTTGCAATTTGACTAGTGTGGCAGTCGAATACCAATTCTCTAAGGGTGACAGGGATATTGGCACGAATGAACCAAAAAGGCATTCAGAGCAAGTTGAAGACTGCCTAAAATCTATCTTGATAGATGTGGTGTCCTCTTCGTTGAATGTTTTCCTCGCGAGGTGCAGAGTGCTCGGTGGACCTTCTCTACTGTGAGGTTATTTGCCAAAACATGAGCAGTCTTCGACGCTCTTGGTGTATCTTAAAGGACCTCGTGGCCTCCAACAACCTGGGCCAGGTTGACCGGAACGGGGACGAAGTCGACGTGGACCTCGACGTGGACCTCGACGACCTCGGCGTGTCGACGACCGCGACGTGTCCCTTGAAGATCATGGCGGTTCGTGACGACTTCGTGGCCTTCAGAGGCCGACCGTGTGGCCGCGTGGTGGTGTCCATCGATGGCTACCTGGCCACGGTGATGTTCTTGGAAGCAAAACTCAGTAGGCGTCCTGGCGGATCGGTGGATCTTTTTATCTTTCCCCGATGGATTCAAATCCCCAAGCCTGGATACTTTTGGACGATTTTTCGTTTTTTTTCCCAGTTCCTATACGAGCCGCAACTCCAAGGCTTGATGCGGAACTGGGAGATGTTTGCCATTTGGCAGAGAAGGTCGGCTTACTGGATGATGTGAAGCCACAAAACTGGGGGGCCGTGAAAGTCCGAGTGGCTGAGACCAGTCGGTTTCGTCGAAGCATGTTGCTCTGCGTGCGTTGGTTGGCAGGAACCTTTGCAGGGAGCCTCAGCAGAGAATTTTAGCATGAAGTTCCTTAGTTCCTGGTCTGTCTTGACTCATTGGAACACACATCGGCCCTTTTCATTCGGCCTCACCCGAACCTCCTGCTCGAAGGGACAGGTAAGCTTATGGGCGGGGGGAAGGGGGAAGTCATCGCAGTATCCAATCTACCCCCAAGATGGGCACCAGCAAGAAGCTACTAGTAACAAGGGCATCGCTACTAGTAACAAGGGCATTACTACTAGTAGCAAGAAGCTAGTAGGTTGGAGGCCATCGCTGCTGGGTTGGAGGCCATCGCTACTAGGGTGGAGACCATCGCTACTATAGCAGCAAGAAGCTACCCCCGAGATGAGCACCCGTTTGGAAAATCCTTGTGCCAATCTGCTCTTCTTGGCAGCTGAGGTTTTTTTGCCAAGGACATTTCCGCTTGGCCATGAATGCGCAACAGAGCAGCGAGCTGTCTTTACCGAAAGAGATCTTGGCAGTTTTGTTCAGTTTGCTGCTTTGACTTAGGATGTTTTTTTGTTTTCCTCATGGGTGAAGCCTCTTCTGGAGAATCTTTGATGTCTTTTCCCGGATGAACTGTCCAGTCCAGGCTGGACAGCCCAAGGTTTGCCATTCTTGGTGCTTTTGCTGGCCTTTATCCGTGATATCTTCTTCCCGCAGCAAGAACATGATCTTTGCTCTACCATGGTGGTCTATGAGAAGTATCTAGGCGCCCAAGGCCGATACTACATTTCCAAGGTTGCCATTGTACAGATCGGCAGTGTATGCTTGCAAGCGTTGGGGAGGTTAAGAGTCTTTGGTGCCATGGTCAATCTAAGACGCACGAGCGACTATGGAGGATATTTGGCCATCCATGAAGTTGACGGTCCAGAGGTGGTCTACTATTGGGACTATTGGGCATTCATTGGATTCTCGGAGTGGTATAGTATATATTCGGATGTTTTCTTTTCGTTCGGAAGAGGCAAGCATTTGTTTTTTTGAAGTGGGCGAGTTGGTAGACTGTCTCTTGGGCAGACGTGGGGAGGATTGTTGCTCGTGAACCTCACATACCCGAATGTCCTCTTCTTCTTTCCACACAAGCAATAGGCTCGGCTTGGTGCATCGTTCATGGATCTTTTCCTCGATATTAGCTACTTGTGCACTTTCAATCTGGTCTTCTTTTGGAGCGGACCTGCTTTTGCATTTCCGACCTATGTTTTCGGTTACATGGCCAACTACATGAGCATTGCCCGCATGTTTGCTGTGTGTCGGTCATTGGACCGGGTGAAAGCACCTAGCAGAACAGAGATGGTGAAAGCAAAAGCTCGACGCAGGTGGACGAAACGACTTTTCCCCTGGTATTCGATCTCGGTCTTCTGCCTGCTGCTGGCCTTCGTTTGGAGCCTTGAGGTGTATCCGATGTGGAGACCCAGCGGCGGGCCCGACCAATGCCTGCCCTGTAGGTGCACAAGGACAGAAGCTGGACTTCATTTGGACACTTGGATTGCACAAGAAACACTTGGGTGTTTTGCAGTTTCTTTTTAAATACGTCTTTATTAGGCAAGAATGCGAGGTGCAGCGTCCTGTCGGACAATGAGTGCCCTATGGAAGGACAAACATAAATAACGAACAAAAGAACGAAAGAAAGAAGGACAGAAAAGTAAAGAACAGGAAAGAAAAGACAAGACAAGAAAAGAACAGGCACGAAAAGAGAACACAATCAAAAAGAACGAAATAAAGAAAGAAAGAACGCAAGAAAGAAGAACGAACGAAAGAAAGAAAAAACACAGAGAGAAAGGACAAGGAAAGAAGTAAAGAACGAACGAGAAGAAGTGCACCATGGAACGGTCACCCTAAAATGGTCAGGAACAGACTTGTCGTGCGGATATTTGGCTCAAGGCCTCTGTGAGAAAAGGCGCGTTGCGGCGTCGGTTCTCGCGTTTTTGTGGTTGTCAGCCGTAGGCTCTGCGTCTACGGTACCGTCGCCATTACCACCTACGTTGATCCAAGCGTCGAACCAACTGATTGGCGACACTCTTTGGCGTTGCGTGCCCGCACCGAGAGGCGGGCGGTGAGGGTACAACCAGAAACTGAGGCAATGCAAGAGGGGGTTGCACAAGGGCTTTACTCGAACAGATATCCTTTTGTTCTTCCTGGCGGACACGCCTACGCAGCGCGTTGGGGATTTACAATTGTTGAGTCTGTTCTTCAGGGTGGACAGGACTGGGGAGAGACTGAATCCGAAGAGGAAGGGACAGGATCTTCAGACGTTCGTGAGCCGCCAGCCTAGAAGGCGAAGCCAGCGCCACCGATTGCACCAGTCTTTACGACACAGGTCATTTCGGTGCCATCAAAGGCAACAGTTGAGACATCACAGATTGTTTCGGTGCCGGTGCCTGCAAAGCCGAAGGTGAGACTTGCGACAACTTCAAAGGGAGTTCCGCGAAGCAGGGCCACAGAACTTGGAGTCGAGCGTGAGGTTACAGAACTTAGCACGCGGAGCGTCGCGATTCATCAGTCGAAGGCGGCGTCGTCAGCAGACTTGGAACCGATCCGAGAACCGATTCGTCCGACTTCCACTCCAAAGGCTATTGGGAAAGTCTTGCCAAAGCCGCCAGTGAAGGCAGCTCCAGTAGCAGCTGAAGCATCGACAACATCGAAGTCACCGCCTTCAAAGGCGATACCTGTGCAGTTGTCGAGGCCGGATCCAGTCTTGCTCCCAGACAGAGTTCTTGCCTACGAGAGGTCGCAAGGCCGGGCGGGCGATATCTTTGAAGAGTTGAGATCGTATCGGAACTTCAACGGATTGTTGCCGGGAAGTGGAGTTGAGCGCAAGTTCATTCTTTTCCTCGAATACCATCAAGTGCTTGACAGTCAGCATCGTGGTGGCGCAAGATCCCAAGAGACAACGTAGCTCTTGATCTTTGTATTGAGCCACATTGAAGCATCTTCACGAAACTTGGAGGGACTCTTGAGGGCTTGCAACGATACACGTGAGGTCATTGAAGAGGACCTGATTCAAGCATTGTTCGTGACTCGTGAGAGGGAAGGTGTGACAGGTAAGTTGGCGACAGCCAGGCAGATCTCCCGAGGCTTTTCGATCCCGTGTTGCATTGTGGAGGACAACGTCCGTGTGATCGCAGAGTTCGTTAAGGCCCAAGAGCAGAGCAATCCGAGAACCCATACTGCACACATCAAGCTGAGGAGGAAGCCAACGGCCGAAAGAGCTAGTGGTTAGGCCCTTTTTGGCAGGTTGCAGTGAGGACTTGGAGACTCTGTTCCGACACTATCAACAATGATTCCGTCAGGAGAAATCGCCCCAGCGTGCCAGGGCTTTGCCGTAGCAGCAAGTACTCCGGTTGCAGATATATCATCTAGTACTGACCCCATGGAAGAAGACCAACCAAGACCCAGTTTTGTTCAGGTGCAAAACCAAACACCGAACCAGTTGAATGTTTCAGCGGACCCAGCCATTGTATTGCCGAAGCTCACCAAGAGATTGCTAGGGCTAGATTGGAGAGGGAATTCGCAGGCACAAGTGGCAGATGTTCAAAGAACTGCGCAAGAGAGGGTAGAGTTGTAAGCCATCAAGCCAATGTTGCAGTAGGTCAAATCCAAAATGAAGCACTAGCTCAGGTCCAAATTGCCCAATCCCAAATCCAGCAAGTGGAAGAAGCTTTGAGGTTGGCTAGGCAAGAGAACCATCAAACGAAGGCTTTTGTCGAACAGGCCAATAGGAAGCAGAGGGAGCATGCTGAGATCGTAGAGGGTGTCCACAAGGAGCACCAAATGCAGACCATTGCAATGAAGTCTAGGATCAATCAGCTTGAGGACACCAGAGCCCTGCAGTCTAGGACCAGTCAACAGGCAATGGAAGCCAACCAGACAGCACCTGGGTCAGAGTCCTTCCGTGGTTTGCACGTCCCACAGTCATTCGCAACACTCAGCCAAGAGCTAAATGGCGCGGAATTCCGTGCAGTGTCTGCCAAGCCTTCAGGAACATCGAGTGCCAGTCACATGGACTCCCAGATGCTTCAACGCACCGGAGCTCTACAAGCAGGTCTGAAAGCGGTCCAGAGGGTGATAGGCTTTTGATGCTGTCAGGAGATGAGTTCGTCAAGGAACTTTTTGGAGAGAAGAGTCTTGATCCAAGCCCAGGTAGAATGCATAGTCAATCACCTCCTCCAATGACGTTGCGCGCGCAGTCATCGCCAACTAGCGCATTAGAAACGCAAGTTGCGCTGGTGCCTTCTCAGTTGAAAGTTTTGGCAAATGCAGTGCAAGGCATTGTGAAACATGCTTCATCGGGTAGGGCAGACACGCCTCGTAGCTCCGGAAAGCCACCATCCTCTCCAGGTCCTTTCGTCTTCATCGTCGAGCAACTCCTCAGGGAAAAGCTCAAAGGACAAGAAGCCGGGAAAGGGTGGGTCAGACGGCCGGGGGTCGTCACCAGGTGGATCTCCTAGTGGTAGTGTGGCATCATCTCCATTGCGTTCCGCAAAAGCCAAAGAGGGAATTGATGCATATGCGTTGGAGAAGAAGCTCAGGAGGGTCAAAACATATGAATCCTTGAAACTACCAACTCTCCCAAAATGAATGCGCCAGAAGCAAGGACATTCAAATGGTTTGTTCAATGTGATTTGCAAGCTTGCCAAAGCAGATGAAGCATCGGCCTTCAAATGGATCAGCCGTTGTGCAAAGTCAGATGCAGATCTTTCCGATTCGTCGCCGTATCCTGTGTTAGACCGTGTCTTAGGAAGCAAGCTTCTTGAAATGTCCAAGAACACGAGGTTTGCCATGCAATTCCAGACCATGCAGGAAGAAGCACAGAAACACGGACGTCAGCCGAAGGGTCGAAGATTGCTTTGGGTTGTGTTTGAGAAGTTCAAAATGGAAAAGGACACAGGGGTTTCTTTGACACAGGGTCATCTTTTGGGTTTGAAAGTGCAGAGTATTGACTTCCAAGCTCTTGAGAACATCAGAAACAAGTTTGACTATGTCTGGCAGGCCTTAGAGGTAGAGCAGAGACCTTCAAGTTCAGCAATCCGTAGTTTGCTTTTCGAACAGTTGAAGAATGATGTTGACCATTGACAAGTTTCGGAATGCATCATCAGGTTCACCCAAAAGTACCTATCAATGGCTGTATGACAAGCTGATTGAGGCGATAGAGATCCATCAGCTAGAGGAGAGCTCTTCAAGCTTAGAGAAGTCTTTGTCGCAATTTGCCAAGGTAGCTGCAAATCCGTCAAAACCAGTAAAGACAGACAAACCGGACAAACCCGAAAAGGAGAAACCGGAAAAACCATCAAAGAAAGAGAAAAAGGAAGAATCGACTGTGAAGCACAAGAACAAAAACAAGCAAGACAAGCCCAAGAAGGAAGAACCGATGCCTCCGCAGCTCCCGGAGCCGCAAAGGTAAAGGCAAGAGTTCGAAGGGGCAGGGATCGGGGTCTGACAAGGGCGCCAAGACTGATGACAAGCCTGATCGTTCCAAGAAGCCGTGAATGTATTTTGCATACAACGCATGTTCGAAAGGAAGCAATTGTCAATTTTTGCACGACTCCAAGAATTTGTATCAGGGTCCAAAGCCGCAAGCTTTGAAAGACAAGCAAGCAAGCGCAGGTGCCGCTCATGTCAATGCAGGGGCAGGCACTGTGCTGGCAGGGGTTCTCTCGGCAAACACGATCTCCGGATCAAGAGCTTCCGAGGTGAGTTGCGATCATGCACCACCTCAAGGGGGCGATGCAGAAAGTAGGATCCAGAAAGCCAAGACGCTTTGCAAGTCTGTGATCAAGTCAGTCAAGTGTTCCAAGAGTTGGCGTATGTTCGAAAAGACATTCAAGGTGTTTGCAGCCATGCTAGCATGTACAAATCCGATCGAGCCGCGATTCACTCAGGACTTTCCTCTTGACACGGGAGCGGGCAGGAACCTTATCTCGTTCAAAGGGATGCCGAAAATCTTGAAGGGGCACGTCGCTGAGGCGCCAGAGAAAGTTCGCTTTGCCACTGGTGATAGTCCCAGGCCGGGGTTGAAAGCGATCAATCTGCAAGGCAGCTCGTCAGGTAATAATACATTCTATGTCTTGAAGGAGTGTCCAGCCGCGTTGAGCGTAGGGATTCAAGTCAATGAGCATCGCCGATTCGTATGGATGCCAGATCAATTGCCTTTCATGGTCAAAGCCGATCGTGTAGGTGAAATGGTCATGCATGTTCCAGAGTCAGCAAAGATCTATGCAGACAGGGTGGAGCAAAACGTCCCGAGCCTTTCTGAAACGATTCAGGCGCATGCCATGCCTTTCAGTGAAGGCGGAAGTTCAGGAAGAGTGGACGGAAAAGGTGCCAGAAGCTCCGCCTCCGCCAGAGCCACCGCCGATGCCGCCACCCCCGGAACCACCGCCTGAACGTACCGGGTTCGTCAAACTAGACGACGAGTGGCCCGAAAGCATTTTTCACCACGTGTGAAGTTAGAATGTGAGTTGCGTGTTCCCAATAGACTGAGAACGTCTATTTTCAAAAATAGACGTTTAACTTTTAACTTTTAACTTTTAACGTATTTTACGATAAAAATTATCGAAATTTCGATAATTTTTTTAACGTATTTTCCAAAATACGATAGTTTTTTCGTCTATTTTTACGTTAAAAATTCGTCTATTTTTATCGAAATTTCGTTAATTTTTTCGATTATTTTTTAACGTATTCGTCTATTTTTAACGTCGAAAACTTCTAGCAAACTTCTAGCAAACTTCTACTTGCAAAACTGCAAAACTTCTAGTTT